GAAATGCTTTATCTGATGTTGCAGGTATCTGTAGAGTGGTGCCTGTTTACAGCGCCATAACTGGTCAACCTGTACAGTGAAAATGACAGTTACATTTCTCAGTTTTGACAATTTGTAAAATGCACTTTCAGAGTAAGAGAAAGATACGGTCAAAGCATCCTGTATGTACAAGGAAAGGTCTGCCTACCTCAAATATTTAAAGCACATTCAAATCTTTGTTTTATTTGCGCAAAAAAGCTTTACAGTCGTCCTTACTGCCGTAAAGAAGTTTCCCTTTTTGTCCCGTGTTCAAGCTAAACTAATAACATGCTAGCTTTAAGGTCACACTTTATATAAAATCATGGCATAAATAAACTCATCTACCTCTGAGCAAGAAAACAAACATTTTTAGGAAGGGTGTTGTTTAAAAATTCCTTTTATAGGAATGTGGACCGTTTGAGATGAATTTGAGGAGTGACTAGTTTGCGTGTTCCACATCTTATCATTAGTCATGTAGTGTAGGACTTGTAGGCCCCTGGTCTGGTCTTGGACTTGGTCTAAACCCCTTAAAGTCTTTCTCAGGTCTGGATTGTGACGCCCTTTTTTGGAAAAATTACAAAATGCCAGCGGGTTTTTGGGATGTGGAACAAAAGACTGCTCAAAGACTACCGAACATTCAAAAGCGAAGCAGGAACTGGACATTGTGAATCCCCAAAGTCATGATGTAGGTAGCTTCTCTTTAGCCGCATGAGCAGAAACTTACCCAATGTCAGATCTATATTCCCGGAGGCGTCGCGGCTCACTAAAAACACCCTGGAGGTACAGAACACGTGCTAGCTAGCCGCCGCAGCGCGTGTGCCAGCTAGCACGTCAACAACCGAACCACAACAACCGTCTCGTACAAGACGACGCCATCGCCACATTTGTTTTAGGTTCATTCTCCTCCTTCATCACCGGTGTCCAACGCCACCAAAAGCAGACATGGAATAACGACGTGCTAAACGCTAGTGTAAATAAGTGGAGAGAAGCTACACCATGTGTCTCACAGCTCGGCTGACGTGTCCCTCTGGACAAAGCAGCCCGACCGATGCCGCCTGCTCGCCCAGGACCGCGTGAGGCCTTTCTGCAGGTCGCCCGTGGGACACGACGGCGTCCCATTCGTCGGGGGGGGGGGGGGGCGGTGACTGTAAGCCGACTCAGGGATCGATTGTGTCACGTCGTACCTTCTACTCACTCGATCGAAAAAGGAAAGGAGCTCGAGCGGGGGAAACGCCATCGAGCGCTTTTGAATAACAACAACGGGACTGTGAGCGTCGGATCGAGGCTCGGGGAGGAGGGCGGGCGCAAGGTGCGGAAACAGAGGCCGCCTTGTTGCAACGGTTCCTGCTTGAGCGTGAGATGCCTTCCAAATGGGCCCGGAGGAGATTGTCAATAACAAAAAACGTCAGAGACCACCGCCTCCAGAGCCCCGCCCCCCCCCCACCAATCACACTAAAACCAGCAGAAGTGCTTTTGCTCGGGTTGATCCCAACGGCAATCACTTTGTGGCTGTATCTGTAAAATATGCTAAATATACGGCAATGAAAACAAACCAGCACATGCATTAAACATAAGCTTGATTTACACACACACACACACACACACACACACACACACACCTGTCTTTGTACACCATTACTATGCAAAAAAAAAAAGAAAGCACACATTTGCTTGGCTCCCCCCATGAGCTTTGGAGGCCAGTCGGCGTTTCCCGAGCGCAGCATCGCGCGCTAACGCGGCCGTTATTGCGATCGCGGTCAGCGGCGCTTCGAGCAGCGGCCCGGGCCCCCCCCGCTCATGCTTTGCGAGAATGAATGGCCGTCATTAGCATGAGGCTCCCCGGCAGCACACTGCATTGCAGCGACACACACACACACACACACAATGGCGAGTGCCACGCTCCCCCCCCCCCCGAAAAGCCCTTTTGTTTGAGCAGCATCTGGACCTGACCTCCATGCATTCGAGGCTGATGACCCCCCCCCACCTCCCCCGTCAGCTCCTCATCTCCTCTCCTATCCTAACCTCCTCATAAAAGCTTGCCCTGCCTCCTCCTCCTCCTCCTTCCCTTTACCCTGTCCGTCCCCCCCGTCCCCCCCTCCTCTATCTGAGGAGCGCAGCCATCTCTTGCTCCTTGAGAAGAAGGTCTGTGTACTAGAGGGCCTTACACAAAGCCTGCAGCGTGAATCAGAGAAGCAAAAAGGAAAAAGCACCAGGGCTACTGGCCATCTGTCCCGCTTGGTTGGACGTGCCCCCCCCCACCCTTCACATAACTCCCACCTCCCCTGATACCCTTAGCCTATATACACAGCATCAGCCACATACACTCACTCTCTGCCATGCATACATCACGGGCTTCGGATGGCGGACGGCGGACGGCCGTGAGAGTCTGTGTCTGCATGTGTGTGTGTGTGTGTGTGTGTGTGTGGGGGGGGGGGGATAAAGAGAGGAGAATAAGGAGCTGCCACTTGCCTGGATGCAGAGCGAAGCCCCCCGGAGCCAGCAAATCAAGCTGTAATCCCTTCCTTTGTCTGAACGGCAAACAGAAAAAAATTGTCTCCAACAATGATGATTTCCCCGAGATCGGCAGCGGAGTGGAAAACAAGGAAGCGAGGGAGTGAAGGACGGCGAGCAGGGGAGGGAGATGGAGAGAGCGAGCGAGAGAGAGAGAGAGAGAGAGAGAGAGAGGAGGAGACGGAGGGTGAGAGCAGCGGCGGCGGCGGTTGAGACCGCGGGAGCAGCTAGAGTGTGACAGAGGGAGGCAGCGGTCGCCGCCGAGCCACGGGGACGCTGACACTCACTGGAGGATTCCAAGTGAGGAGAGAGGGAGAGATCCGCGGGGGAGGGGAGGGGAGGGGAGGGGAGGGAGGATTGGTTTGCCCCCGTGGCTTAAAACGCCGGGATGAAACGCCGGAGAGAGATAACCCCTCGTCCCCCCTCGAAGAGGCAGAGACTTCTCCATCAATCGTGACATTCGCCCCCACGTGATCACAATGGCCATCTGCAGGAGCAGTGAGGGGAGGAGAGCAGGGCAGAGGAAGGGAGGTGGTGGTGGTGGTGGGGTTGTGGGTGGGGGTGGGGGTGGGGGGGTCCTATATAAACACATTCACACACACACACACACACACAGGGAAAAAAAGCCAGCAGTGGTGGAGGGAACGGCACCTGTTTGAGTCACAACACATGTGCTCCGGGGGGGAGACAAAGGCAACAGAGGGCCGAGAAGTGTGGCTTTTTTTTTGTCTTTCTGCCTCGTCACGGCAAGAGAAACCTTTGCGTGTGTGTGTGTGTGTGTGTGTGTGTGTGTGTGTGCGTGCGCGCGAGACAATAAACAGGAGGTGGCAGCAATAGCAGGTCAACAGGGACCAAACATTGGGGGGGTGGACAGGAAGGCAAAAAGGTGGACGTTGGGGGGGTGGGGGGGCCATTTTAAACATTTCAGTGTTGTCAGGCCGAGCAGCCCCGGGTTGTTGCCCCCCCCCCCCCACGTTCCCCCGGCACACTCACAGTATTTATTGTTACAATCAGATTTGATGAGAAAGACTTTATTCCCATTGACCACGTTAAGAGCCGACGCCTTCATCAACATGGACGCGTATTTCAAGTCAATCACACATCCAGCATCCTGCATTAAGACTCAAACTTCATTAATGAAAAGAGGCGGCGAAGGAAACATTTGAACTCCTGAATGAGGGTGTGTTTTTTACAGGATTCGGGGGACATGAAAGACGTAAAGCGGTTTGGACTTTGTGACAACGGTTGAATAGCTTCTACCTCTGTGCTCACATTGTTCGTGTCTCTACTTGTCCCACAGGACGTCTTTGTTACAGCGTTTGTTTGCATTCGTAAGCGTTGAAGCTTCAGCGGTGAGAGATCTTTTAGTTGCGTTGAAGGAAAACGTGAACGATCAACATTATTCGAATGTTTAAAATTAAAATGTCTCGGATGTACAACCGAACGCTGAATAGATCCTTTTCATGCCACCAGCCCGCCCCGAGGCGCTCTCTGCGTCCTGGTATATTCAACTTGGGTGGAACATAATTTAATAAATGAACATCATGCTTGAAGAAGACTTGAAGGTAGAGATTGAGACCATAAACCGAGGGAATAATTGTGTCTATGGGACCGGAGGAGTCGCCCCCTGCTGGACAGTAGCCAGAATGCAGGTTTTAGTTACTTCTTCGTTCTTCTCACAACCAAAGGACGCGGCCTACGTCGTTTTTGGACATTTAGCTGGGACTCGTTTTTCGTGGGTCTTGTGGAGGATCTTTGAAGGCTTGACGAGGTGAATTGTTTTAGAGATGTTTTATGTTTGAGGTCTAACGTATCCTGTAGGAAAAAAAGTGGGTAAATTAAGGGGGAAAAACATGTAATCCCTTTAATCCGGTGGCCCTGCAACATATATCAAGCGTTTTTTATTTAGTTTACGTTAGAAGCCCTTCTGTCCCTCCCAGAGAGCCCAACATGCTCGTACCATAATCAGGCAAGAATCTATTTTCAATATATCAGAACATCATAATCCCGGGTCGGAAACCGGGGGCAGGGTCGGGGGGGCTCAGCGCTGAGGCGGATTTACCGGACACATGGTCGAGCGCGAGAGACAGGACCGCCGCAGATTGGACGGAGAGGCAGAGAGTGGATGAGCAACGGAAAAAATACAGTAATCTAGTCTGTTGAGACACATTTTATTAGGGAACAACGCAATGGTGGAGAGAAAAACAGGAGGAGGTGGACCTGTGATCCTTCTGCTGATTAAATCATGTCTGTGCATATGTGTGATAATTAAATTAATTCCTCAGGGGGGGGAAACTCTCTCTCTCTCTCTCTCTCGCTTTGTTTTGTCCCTCGCCACGACGAAAAGTGTAACACGGCGATTCGCGGGAGGGCGAAAGGGACGGATTAGATGAGAGACAGAGGGGCGCGTCATTGGGGGTGAAGGTGAAGAGACTTGGGTAAGTTCTGTGGCACCATGGCGTTCTACTCACAAGGCACAGCGTGGCGATACAGATTGGCCCGGATGGTCTTCTGCAGCTCGTGGTCGGGGGAGGACTTCTGGAACCTCAGGCTCAGGTAGTGCTTCAGGTCCTGGTTGAGCTTGTGACCTGGAAACAAGACGGCAGAAGGAGAGAGAGCTCAAACGAAACGTCCGGAAACCCGCTCGTCCCTCCGGCCGCGCTCGTGCTGTCGTTTGACCGAAAGTGGAGACACGAAGGGGCCGTGACATTTCGGACGGACGAATGCTGCCGGACTCTGAAAGCGCTTGGAGGAACGGAGAGTTCCTCAAATACATTTATCCACTTGTTTAGGACCGGTTCTACGCATTAATATGTTTAAAGAATCAAATTCAAACGTATATTTCAAGTACATGCAACAGGACTAACGTCAGTTCGCTAAGATTTATTTTAATTGCATCTAATCTTCAAACTCAATCAGGTTGTCTCATTGAGATGAAGACCTCTTTTCCGAGGGAGACCACACGACATACAGGAATACAAAACAACGGCATGTAACAGGGTGGTTCATCTAGAGGGGTGGGTCCGGATAAATTGATTACAAAGGTCTCTGATTGGCTGGACTTCCTGGGCTTCCTCAGCGTCCATCCAATCAGCGGCGCCGATGCCGCTGGCCGTGAGTTTGGCCACGGCCCCCGGCCCTCACAATGGGGCCAGATGGCCGGAGCCGGCTCTCACGCCAGGGTCTCATTTAGGGCCATTTAATGATCCCCAAATATATCATCCATGTCTGGGAGAGCTGGCGAGCGGGTCTTGGGGGGAGGGGCCGTGACCTGCTGTCGGCCTCCGATCACAGCGCGCGGAGGGGGGGGGGGGGGGGGCCCGGGGTGGCAAACCTCTCTCTTCAACCACAGTCAACCTTTTCCGACTCTGGAACAAGTGGGAATTTCAAAATGGTTCAAAAACATTCGGGATTGATTTATTTGTTATCATAAATAAATACCGACACATGCCGCTCTGATGAAGAAAGACGCCCCTGAAACTACGAGGAGGACAAAGAAATATAAAATATGAAGCCTCCTGATTTTGTCACACAGGAATCCTCTTCAGGATCGATAATATCGATCACATTTATGGTGTATATAGCAGTCATGAACACAGCTAAGCTAACATTAGCGTGACCATGAATCTGACTCTGCTGTTTGCTCCTCAGAAGAGGAGACCCCGGCTGGCTGGTCTACCTTGCTGTATTTTTCCGTTCCTCCACACACACACACACACACACACACACACACACAGCCTACTGTGTAATTCAGTGCAAGCAAAGCACTGTCAGGTAATTGTTACCTAGCAACCAGCGAGTGCTGACGACCATCATTACGGTCCCTGCTAGGCGAGCAGCAGTCAGATTGTAAAAGAGAAAAGTGCACGCACACACACACACACACACACACACACACACACACACACACGTTTAACACGAGCCCTCTTCCAGCCCATCCTCTGCTGCTCCACTTCCTCGTCTGCGATGATCTGATTTATCCGAACGGTTCATGGCCCAAAATGAAATACAACCCGCATACATTAGCGTTGTGCGTGGTGTCAGTTCTGCTGGCTCAGATGCCCCCCCCCCCCCACCCCACGGGTGCCGCTGGGACGACACCCCCCCCACCAACCCCACGGCCTGCAGAGGGCGGGCCGCCCAGGTGTCACGCGCCATCAATGAGAAAGTCATCAAATATTCATTATTTATGGGGATTAAAGCGGCGTGGATGAGAGATCACAGTGGCGCCGCTGTGTGTGTGTGAGAGTGTTGCAGCTCGTGCACCGTTTGCTTCGTTCCGGAGGCAGCTGAAGAAATTCAATCTGCCAAAGACGATGAGGATCCACTTCTACACGGCAGTCCATCCTCTGCTCCTCCATCACCGTCTGGTACGCTGCAGCCACAGCCAAGGACAAGGGCAGGCTTCAGCGTGTCATCCGCTCTGCAGAGAGGGTGATCGGCTGCAATCTGCCGTCCCTGCAGGACTTGTTCGCTTCCAGGTCTCTGAAGCGAGCTAAAAAGATCGCGGCCGACCCCTCTCACCCCGGACAAAAACTGTTTGTGCCCCTTCCATCTGGCAGGAGGCTGAGGTCCATCAGGACTAAGACCTCCCGCCACACCAACAGTTCCTTCCCGTCGGCAGTCGGGCTCATGAACAGAGCCGGTCCCCCACTGACTGACTATAACATTCCACATTCCTTGTATGTTTGACATATTTTGGCAATAAATGTTTCCTGATTCCTGATTGTTTTATCACAAACGTTTGTTCGCTGAACATTTAAGCAGATTTTATGATGCTCTCGATGTCAAGCTGAAAAAATAAAAGCGCAGAATGAGCTCCTCTCTAATAGTGGATTCTTGCTCCCATGTGATACATTTTGATTTGTTTTCAGCCCGAAAACGTGCTCCAATTTCTCTGCTTTCAATTCATTTTGGAGTCCGGCTTTACAAAAGTATTACATGGTATTTGAGATTTTGGAATAAGACAATAGCTTCCTTTTTTTTGTCCTTGACCCATTTTGAGTGTTTTCCCAGCAGCATGCAACAAAAGGAAAAAAAAACAAAGCTTTGGAATCCAACAAAAACAACCAGATGTGGTGAGAAAACTGGAGATTTTATCCCCACAAACACACACGTGTTCCTCAGATTCTGAACAAAACAATTGAGCGTGAAGAGCCCTGAATAGGGATCCGCGTCTCGTGTGGAATAAGATGATACCGGGAATGTGCTGATTATTCAGAGTCCACTGATCCACAGTGTGTTTCTCCTGAATGAATATCAGCATTCTTATGAAATGGTCTTATAGTCAGGGATTAGACCTGTAAATAGAGACTTCACATGTTAATATGTTCAACCACAGTGCATCTCTCTAGTCCACATTCATAATTAAACTATAATCACTACCTGTTTAGTTAAATCAATTAGGCAAATCGACAGAAAACTCAATTTGATTTTTTTCAGCAAAAGTGCCACTAATTAAACATTTCCCACATTAACTAAAATGTGAAAATCTGCAGCTTTCTGTGCCTTCGGTTGTGGAACTGTAGGTCAAATAGCCCAAGCTATTTAAATAAGTCATTTTTCATGTTTCTCTGCCATTTTATTGATCCAAAGTCGAGCGCCGCAGCCCTGATGAACGCAACCTGATTCTTTGCCGCCAATGAAAACCCGGGAAAAAAACGATAAGATGGATCATTCGAGGGCTCGGGGAGGATACTCCTGATTCTCCGTAACCATGAAATCGCTCCATCGGGGATAATCTGAGGCACCGGAGAAGCCGAGGGATGTTTCAGCTTTTCAGTTTCCTGGGAGCCGGCCTGTGATTTTTCTTTTTTTTTTTTTTTGCAACCCGGTTGTGAGGCGGAGCAGAGATGTGTGAGGCCCTCCTGCCGTTTTACAGATAGACAGAGAGTGAGACAGAGAGACGGGTTTAACCCAAATAAGAGTGGATTACACACATCCGCCGTGCCCGCAGTCGGCATTACACAACCTTAAAGGTGCAGTGTGTTGGATTCGGTGGCTTTTGAAACGACTTTCAAGTCTCCGAGTCCCTCGTGGCTGCAATGAGAGTCCCGTCGGCCGCTTACAGCACTACATTTTAATATTATATGCGCGGAGGCCTCAAATGCGCCCAGTGGGCTTGTGTGCTTCTTCCTGCGGTGTGAAAGGGTTCATATCTGTGCTGGTTGTGTGTTTTTTCATCTGTGCAAAATGAACTAAACTAAAAACTAAATCAAACAATGGAATTATTTAATGGAAGAGTATTGTCATCAGTCCTTCCTGTATCGAAATACAATACGGAAAGAAAAAAACACAGACAGTAAAAACTTTAAAGCAAATAACCACATCTCACCTCTGGAATCCACTAACTACAGCAAGCTGTCCTACTGATGACAGCTCATGAACTACTGTCAAATAAATAAATAACAACGTCTCTTGTTTTCAGGTGATTAGAAACTGACAGAAAAACATTAATATACTTACTTCCTGTCAATAAATCCCCACTGAATGCTGCACAGTGTTCCTTTAAATCTAGTTGCATCCCTCTCTCATTTTGAGCACCGCGTGTGTGTGTTTGTGTGTGTGTGTGTGTGTGTGTGTGTGTGTGTGTGTGTGTGTGTGTGTGTGTGTGTGTGTGTGTGTGTGTGTGTGCGCGCATGCTCTCATCCGAGGAGATTCACACATGCGCGTACACATTTCTGTGCACATGAAGATAAAGATTAAAAAGAGGAGAATGCGTTTTAAAAAGGACATGCTATCTTACTATGACTCTTAAAAAAAAAATGTTAGATGCTTTTTGTCTCACGCTACAAGAGATTAAAAAAGAAAAAGATGTGGCATTTGAAGAGGATTCCACAGAATAAAAAAAAATAAAAAAAAGCATGCCGGGCAGAAGTGACACAAACATATGGTGGTCTCTGCTTAAAGCCTCAGCAGCGGCCTGTAGAGAGCCACATGACAGCTGCCATTGCTACGAGCCGCTGCCACTTCCTGTCAATCAGTTACCTGCGCATGCACACAGCTGCTGTGGAGTGTTTGATCATTTGTTCATATTAAAATCAACAGCAGTTGAGTGAATATTCATTTGAGGAAATGTCCACGTGTGTGTGTGTGTGTGTGTGTGTGTGTGTGTGTGACGCTCTGTTCAGCTGCTGATTGGAATTCAGCCTCCGTCCTCCAGCTCAACACTGCCCTCTGTGTCTCCCGGGCCTCAGCGCTGAAAGTCGGCCTCACACAGAAACCGTTGCCACGGCAACCCAGGACCCGAAACCAGTGCGCGAGATGAGCCACTGCTGCGGTCATTATGGGCTGCTGCCCCCCAGTGGTGCGTCTCGACTCTATAACAAGGTCTACAAACAAGGACGTGATTATTAAGCTCAGTTCAAAAAATTATGAAAAAGGTGATATTATTGAGGTTTAAATTGAGGTTTAAAATTCAGAGGAAACATTTGACTCTTTACACACAATATTTTCCCTTGTATCCAATATTTTCCCTTGTATCCAAAAAAGGATTTCTTAAATAATGGGAGCCAACTCCCAGCTCCTTACTACAGAATTGTATCTGTATAAACGTGATAAAGGGTTTGTTAATGCGTTAAAATACTTT